AGCCTGCAATCGGAGGAGGAAGTGGCTCCAACGTAACATGACGAGACCGGAATGCTTAAACCAACGCTAACTGGCGAGCCACAAGGTTAGCAGAAAGGATGGCAGACTTTCGGCAGTCCCGATTGTTGAACCGTCCGGCACCATGGACGTATGGGTATCACCCAAACTTCCAATGCAGTTTCGATGTCGAAACTAAAAATGTGACCTATCGATGTCTAATTATGTGCTGGTGGTGATGACAGTTACTTAGGTGATGTGTGTGACATTCATCATCGACTCGAGTGCTTCATGAGCTGTTCCCCTAAATCCTGATAGAGAGGCTATTGTTTGTACCTTAGTTGTATTGTAGCCGACAGGTAGTAAACGTTTCTGCCCTCTGGGACACTCGGTTGGAAACTGTCTGTGAACTTTCCGCCCTCGTTGAACAGTTATAGGACACTATGAAAAAGTTATGCTTTCTAATTCTCTTCTGAAGGTGCTCCGTTTACAGCAGCGCTTATTGACCAACTGTATTTGTGTTGCGAGTGCAGCGCGGTGGTTTTCAGTGCAGATGACCCCCCACGCATCCGGAAAAGCACCAGACAACCGTGGTACCTAATCGCGAAGCCTCAGTGGTGCGCATCCTCCGACTCTATCATTAATCCGTGTACATGACCTCCCGACACCAGCGAATTACGCCACTAACCAGCAGCTTATGCCACTAGGCCACTTGTGACCGCGGAACACAGTTATCAGTTACAACCTAACTGTGATATTGCGCTTGGCCGACATCGGAGATGTGTGAGCACAAGCGATATAGTTACAGTGATGTTATCGTATCCACTTATCGTCTTTTGGTCAGACGCGTATTGTGGTAACGCTTTTAGGTTGCGGAGTTCCATTATTAATAACTCGTCAGTCTTGGATGCCAAAAGGGATTGAAAACATGTATTCCCATGATTGTATTTTGGGGCTCCCAGATGTTTTACACGAGGTGGTCTAGAGTCAGCCGGCGATTCAAAAAGAATGTTCATCGATGTTGAAGTGTATGAGGTGTTTGAAAGAATATTCGATACAGCTGGTGATATTATCAGCTGACCGGAAGGTTGTGTAATAAAATGTAAAAGATACACTACAATGTCTTAATACGAGAGATCACGCGGCCACAGGGTCTGACGAGTGGCTGGCAAGGTTGACATGCGCACTACCTTATTACCAGTCCCCAACTAGCACGCTTTTTCTGTCCTCATTGCAGGGTTACCGACGGAGGTAGAGCTTGGTAGGATCGAACTGAGTAGGCAGTAGGAGTTGGGTCCTAGATGGGAGCAGAAACAATTTGATAGTAGTAATAGTGTATATACCTGGTTTTATCGAGAAACGGTACCCACAAAGGAACGGATCGTATTTACATGTGCGATATGCTCACGCATGCAGGGTTGTCAATGTTTGGTGCTTATACGGGGATGCACTGGTAACGTTTAGAAAGACTCTTCGGGTTTTTCAATGTGGTTTCCTATCAGAACACAAGCAATCTCGGTTTTGTTTCAGGTGGTGATCGGGAATATCATGGAAGTGGTAGGCTCATGAAAGGGAAAGGAACGTGAAAGGGGATAAAGCAGTAGGATTTCTCAACCAAAATCAGACCAGTATCCCGTAGTCGTACATAATTTTCTTGAGTAATAGAGGACAAGCTATCTGTACTTGGTGAAGTTTCGTTCATACGCGAAAGAGATGAGAAAGATTGAATCAACGCATCAATGTGGCAGCATATGAATTTTTAGTGCTACAGCTTTGTTGGCAAGGTGAGGCAGGGCGAAGTGCCTGGACGTTTCTAGACCTGCATAGCGAATTGACCTGACCAAACAAGATGTAATGTGTTTTACGCAGTTGTTGTGAGAATAGGTGGGCTCAGTTGATTTGCTTTCAGCCTTCACTTACAGATGGAGATTTATGGCTTGCTCAGCCATGCATTCGAAGAGTTGATGTTAAGGTGGGAGAAGTAGTTATATTGATAAATATATGAATAAGCGTTTGTTCTTTGCAATGCTAAGCACGGCCATCAAGGCATGGTCGACAAATCACAGTCATATACTAACTATCGAAAACAGGGTGATTAGTAAAGTGTACAGACAGTTAACCAGCTGTCGGCATAGATTTATTAAGGAAATGAAAGGCACTGCAATAAAATCGAAGACGTGGCCTAACGAAAAAATTGAAAGGCTGATGTCGATGAAAAACTAGGAGTGCATACTTGTAGTAACCGGGCGTATGAGTGAAACAGAATTAAGGCAGAGAGAAAAGTACAATAATAAAGATCTAAAGCAGTAATACGGTCATCCCTGGGAATGTCTCCTGATCTTTAGTGTCAATAATTAGCGCCATTAATTAAAATCAATACGTTTTCGATGGCAAAATGAAGGATGAGTCCTAGTATTGTCACATTCAGGGAATATCAAACAGTAGCTTAGCGGACAAAATGGATGTATTGGAGGAAAGGAGATCCGTGCAACATTTGTAAATGCAACTGAAACCTTTCCACAGTAGAACAATACATCTGGGCATTAGGCAATCAAATAGCACTCAACTGCACCTGAGAGTCCAAGTAGAAAATAAATCAAAACTTTGTCGTCTCTCGACGCTGCCCTTTCGCAATCAATATGGACTGCAACTACTGGACGGGTAGACAGCGCGAAAGACCCAAACACATAGTGTTAGTTGCGCATTAATGAGCCACACAGTGAAGTAAAGGCAGCTTAAACAACTTCAAATGACAGGGTTATTAGAAACACAACTTTGTAATTAGACATCCAACACAGACCAGCATATCGTCAGGAGACCATTGATCAAAGAAACGCAGCAGGCATAACTAGTAAGTATAACAGAATCTTGAGTGACGCTTATGAAGAGCTAACAAGCTATTAGTTTTACCCGAGTTAGCAATTTTGTGCAATCTTTGCTATCTTACTGCGATTTTGACAAGAAAGTTTATGATTGATTCATTATCCCATACGTGTCCCTCACTCTGTTCTCTCTTGGCTTAAAGCACACAGAACAACGGCTGAAATGATCCCTTTGAGCATGTCACTAGTTCCTTTGAGAAGCGATTCACATTTGAATTCACTCGAACAGCTTCAATATTGGGATCTGGAAAGTTTCCACGTCGTTCACAACGTTGACGCAATCAACACTGAACACTTTTCATTTGAATATCTGATTTCTTTCGCATTACATACACTCATTAAGGTACGATTTAACCACAGTCGAGTTATCAACAAATATGGAGGTGGTGGCGGTTCACTTTCGCTAGTCTAGGTGCACCAAAACTGACCGCTTTAACACAGCGTTCTCATTGTATGTTTCCTTTGCGTAACATGCGTCCAGCAATATCCGAGAGTCAAACATTTAAGCTACAAGGTCTCTGGTACAAATTGACAACCCGGCCCTTACCCTTTACACAACCCATTCAAATGAATGCGGCCATGCGAAGGTAAGGCACACCCACAGTGTTGGCACCTGCGGCTGCAGGTAAACGCAGTCTGTGGAATTGCAGAAAAGGACACACACAGCAGGTTTACGAGAAGACTAGCTCTGTGCTTTTAGCTGTTTTTCTCCGAAACCGAACCCGAAATTACCAACGGTGTAGCGCAGCCTAACTCCATCCCCGCAGTTTCGCAACACTTGCTGCACATTGACCTAACATGTCATCAGCTGTCTGGAAGTGGCCTGACTACTCTACTGTAACTTCTCAACACAGTAGCCCAAATTCGGTAGGATCAGTCAAACTGAACTTTGCCCTTGGAAATGTTTGCAAAACCGGCTCAGTGGTGCACAGCAACGATTCACTTTGATCATTTTCTATATACCTGATGTAGTCGGTAGGATATTTCTTTCGTATCTTGCCAGTTTTTGGATCGACGGCATTTCCGAAGGGCTATAGTAGGCACTTATGGATTGTTCAATTACGTTGAGCAAGTAGCTTTATTATTCTGCTTGGCTTCGTTCTCAAACATTACGGTTACACTCGTGAAATAAGCCGTTTTCACAGATATTCAACGCATTTTGCTCACATAAAGTCTTCCGCACATTCAGAAAAGCACCAAACGGCCACTTCTTCCCAATGACATTGAACATAAGTACGCATTCCACAGCTTCATTAGGAACCGATAACGTGACTTGGCAACGCCGGGATTCTGCCATCAAAGCATGGGTGACCGTGACAGATCAACTTACTGTGCAAGCTAACTGCGGCAAGCTGTGGCTCACCATCCATTGCCGGGCAAGCAACTATGTCTATCATATAACATTTGGCAGCTGCACGAGCGATTTTCATAGAAAATTCATCATAGTTAGCTCGTTTCATTTTACTGTTGCTGCTTCCCCAACACTTATGCGCACGATGTTGAGAAAGTCACTGGCCTTACTCGTCCCCAGATAGCTAACGGCTACCAGAAACAAAACTTGTATTCGTGCAGCTGGTTACAATAACCACCAGTTACTTGATAACGCTTTAATTGAACAATTCGAATATATCCTGTAGATCTCATTAGGCCAGGTGCCGTTTGATGAGATGACAGAATGATGAACAGCCACACATGGGCATTTTGTGTAATACCTGTTAACGCGATACCCCGTAGCATGCAACCGATCAGCCATCAGTGAGAAACTGGATGTCAACCGGCAGAATTCTGTCCGGTAGCTGCTCTTACGATTCTGCCGACGAAGAAACTGTGCCGCAGCTGAATTCACAGGAAATGCCATGGTGTCCAAGTGTTAACAGTCGACAGCTACTTGTCAAACCGTTAATCCTGTCACTTATTCAGCTAGCCCTCAGATAGTTGCCACCTAATAGAATCTCGTGTTGCCGTTTTACACGGTTAATCAGGACACCAGTCCTCACCGGTACCGTGGTGATTGGCGGATAGTGCAGTAATCATGTGAATCTGGGCATTTGTGTGTCAAGACACCATAGTCCTGTTATATGGCGGATGCACCAAATTGATTATTTCTTTACTTCCCCACAGGTCCCTGAAGACTTCTGCTAACATATGGAAGAAACTTTCTGGTGGAACACAGTGACTAATTTTGGTGTCCAATGGTCTGAATCACACTCAGTGCATAACAAACATCCTTGGGACCTTCCATGATTTCCAGTTATTATGTGCTTGGCATGACCTCACTCATGGACAAACCTAAAGTAGCGTAATTTCTTGTTTCTTCCCAAATTGTCGCTGCAGCAATTTAAGTAGCAACTGCATGGATGGAAGTATGTGTACAGTAAGAGAGGTATCTTAATATTATCTATACGCCCTGGGATAAGTGAAAACGAATGAATGCCTGAAGAATTTTTACTATGCGCTCAGCCAGTACACTAATTTTATTCCATGATCCTTCCACGTGATAAGCTGTAGTCATCGGCATGCACGTATACTAAGGGTTGTAAGTCTAGTCAGGCAAAATATTTTATTCCTAAGTGAAGAAGTACCCCTTTCTATCACATTGACCTACCGTACTTTTGACTGATTCTCATCTGTTTCAAAAACATCAGCTGAAGATATGCCTACAGTTATTACTACGCTCCACTTTCCTTAATTTTAGTACTTTTGATTAATTGAACACCACATAAACTTCTCTTAAGCTACATTGTAAAACTCGGAAATCTTTCTCTGCCGTCCGATTATGTACATAAAGATCAAACGACATAGTTGTTCTGTGTCTTGTACCGTCGAGAAAGTCGCTAGTGTCTATTTATTCTAGTTATAAATGATTTCTCTCCCTTGTTTAATTTCTATCCGTTACAGTTTCTATTCGCTGTAGTGATAAATAAACGTGCTTTCTTCAACTGTATTTTACCTGCTCAAGTTGAAAAAACGGCTTAATAGTGGTATCAGTTAACGCCTCAGCTTTGAAGAAGCGTGCTGATTCTCTCACACTGCCTTTAACAGAGCTCTTTAACACATGCCACACTACGGGGTGTGATCTCGGACATTTGGAGAACGGCCAGTATAACTCCAGTATCAAAACTGGGTCACAAAAGTATCGGGCAATGGCGTGTACATCTGTGCTCCTACAAGTTTTCGAAAGATTGTTAATTCCACGGATTTGTTCAGCCACTCCTGAAGACGATATCTACCACTTTGCGTATGGACCTCAAGGCTCCACATTGGAAGCAGTGGCATATGTTGTTCATTCTATAGTCTCTGCGTTAGATCAAAAATGTAAATCCGTACGGCTTCTCTTCCTGGATTATTCGAATGCCTTTGGAAGCCTGGATAGGTTGAGGTTGCTAAATCTGCTATCCGAAAATTGAGTTCACCCTGGTGTGTGTAATCTGTTACGTGACTATTTTACAGATTGTATTCACTTCACTAAGTTGAACGGTAAGAAATCCGCTGTCCTCCGTGCCCGAGTTTGGTGTTCTACAGGGAGCGATCCTATCACCTTTTCTATTTTCCTTGTGTGTTGAACAGCTCCCTATACAAACGACTTTTATGGGGTGTAAATATGCTGATGATGTCTTGCTGGGATGTATGTCCCCCACTAACCAGGATTCCTCATCACTGCAACGCGGGTTGGAAGATCTGGTGGAATGCTCGTCATCCAGATCTCTTACGCCTAATGCTTCTAAATGTAACGGTGTAATATATCTTTTTCTAAGTGACGATAAGTTGTAGTCCCTCATAGTTTTCTCCCCCACACTTACTGTGAATGAAAATCCCATACCCAGTTTTCCACCGTCAAGTATCCCGGCGATTTTGTCCCAGAACCTTCCTTGATTCATGCATGTCATTAAAACTTTTCAAAAAGTCAGAAAAGTTTCTTTTTATGCCCAGACTTAATGTGCTTTCAGTACCTCGTATTTTAATATTCATGTTTGTGACCTCTTGTATTACCCCCCATTGGCTATACTGCTCTCCCGTTATTTACCCTGGACAGCTTCAGGAAGTCTACATCTTGTTGGTGCGATCTATAAAGCACATTTCCAGATGCAGCGGCCTGTCTAGAGATACTTTAGTTGCTTTGATCATTTCTAGATATCTTGATGCCTGCAATGGTTTTTATGCTAAGGTACTAACTGATCGATTTCATCCACTTCACAAGGATCTTTCCAAAACGCGCTGTTTTTCTTCTACGCATTCGAAATACAGAATGTTATTCTCCCGCACGTCATCGTGTAGTGATACAGTTTTGTCTTATCTCTCACGTTTGCTTGTTGACCCAGTGAAAGTCAATAACATGCTGCGCGAGCGCTTGTTAGAGTAGCATGCTTTGCTTCCCCTTTGCTACCCAAACATGTACATTGTTATTATCATCCAGATGTCCGCAGTTGTGGTGTAAATGCTGAAAATGAACCTATTAGGGTTCATAAAGCTTATTTTGACTTGCCTTGACTCTGAGGGGGATTTTAGAGGCGGTATGCCAGGTCTGTAACCTGTGGAGGAGTTCTAATATCCATCTGTAGAGTTTTGTATGCAGTCAGTGGAAATGTTAAGAAAGAGAGTTGTTTTCGCTGTCACAACTCTCCATGCTGTTAACGCATGTTGGCGCCGTTGAGCAAACATGCATACGGGCTGAATCATGGGAACATAAGCTTTTAGTTATACACTATGGTTTCAAGAAGCTTTCGATCGCCGATCTAAGAGATAATAAGCTACGAAGTTGCCTGCGGACCTATCATGAATTAAGCGAACAGGCTGCAGTCGAATTCATTCGCATTGCTTGGTAAGACATTCTTCTGCCTAGATTGAAAAACGTGTAGAGGTTGATGCATGTGCAATTCGCTGCTTCGCAAACTTGGAGGCAGCTGTTCTTATCTACCTCCAGGTGTACAAATTCTGAATTCACGAAAGTGAACTATTGTACTGACAATTAATGAGTAGCTGGTTTATTATTTGTTTTCGGATCGCGGAATTAAGCCACGTTCGGTTACCTGCAGCCTAACGTTCGATTCTGACTACGGAATAACATACTATTTCATTTCTCCACCACAACCAACCGTCTGTTTAGAACACTGTACACTTATAACCTTTCATTCCTTTAATCTGTCTCTGTTTTGTTACATAACAGCCACGTCGTATCCGTCTTGTTTGTTGCTTGAACGATAGGCGGATTTATAACCTTCACGTTATTTCGAACCGTTTCATGTGCTACAGAGATTTGTTAAACCACTATTCTAGAACCACTGTTTATAAGGGGAATTCATGCCACCCACCGTCTTCGGTTCTGCCACCGAAACCGTGACAGGGTCTAGTGAGTCGGCCTGCGCACTGACTCAGCGATAGCAACAGTATGTATTCACTGCCGTCGGCCTGCTCGTAGCACATTCGTGCACTCTGCTTATCTCACTGCTACTCAGCAACATATTTTCGCAGGTCACTGGACCTATACTTATGCGTCTTGTTTTCACAACCTTGACTTCGCGATACCATTCTATCTAGAACATTATCAGTACACCCTACGTTTGCCCGTAACCGTAAATCCTTGCCAGTGTTTCACTGGTCTCCATGCGTACAAGGTTAGGTTGTTCCAAACGTCAAGCCCGCCTTTCGCTCTCACTCGAAAGAGCATTGCCACGGCATTCGAACTAGCTGGCACTTGTTACGGCTCTTCAGTGTGCCGAGCAGCTACCGAATAAGCTACCTTTTCCCCGCAGCGAAAACCATTCAGACCTTCGGCCGTTCTCATTTGCCATCTAACAACTTGAACGCGGACGATCAGTAACTTAAGCCACCAAACCACGCCACCATGTGCTTACAGCACGGATACGCAGTGCACTCTGCATATCCAGGCCGAGGAGCGAAGTGTGTGACCTAGCTCAACGTCGATAATAATTCACGGCCTTGACTCAATGTAATCTGACGTGTGTACGCCCTAGCAATAGTTCGACTGACAAGCTTTGGGGTCTGCCTGATAGAAATTCACGTTACTGTACATACAATGACAAGCACTGCTTGTGCCTAGACTGCTAAACTTAAAGCTTCACAACGAAATGCCCATTGGGTTGAGGCAAGCCCTTTTCTGGGTGCAGGAATTTTAGCTATTGTAAGAATTTCCATCCCAAATACGTTCGCCAAAATCCAAGCGATGTAAGTTGACGCATATCACAACCGATTCTGTTCGGTTCTAAATCAAGTGTACGGCTACTCTGCTCATCCGATGTACAATTGTGCTGGCGAGTAAATGTGACCGACCTACAGAGATTGTAGCGAAGCCAACTGCCGTGGGAACTGTCCAACCTAACGAGATTAATCACTGTCTCGAACCCAATACCCAACATCATAACCCAGTTCAGAACAGAGTAGCCAGATCGGATGTAAGAGCAACGATTCGTATTTAGGCACCGAGATACGAGAGGCTGTTACCAGTGATGCCTTCGCCGCTCAGGCTATGTCAAAGCCGTGCATCACATCGAACAATGTTGGAGGGTCTACAACATGCACCTTCTCTATTGCCACCCACTTGATAAAGGCACCGTCCATCATAGCCTCACTCGCTGCCCAGCTTGGTGCAGTTAGTTTTGCAATACCACTGCGGGATCTAGGATACTAGTCGTTATCCGACCAAGGAAAGTAGCCACAAATCATTCAAAAATGCGAACATAGACAGAATCACTATCTCTCCAGTTTGCCTGAATCCGAGACAAACAAGATTTTTTTAAAAACTAGTTCCTAGACGGCCAGAAACCATGGAACACTTTGTGCAAAAGAATATGTGTCTGTATGATAAGCCTCGTCCCTCATGAAAACTCAGTATGTTACGGCGAACCGTAGTTACTCCAAGTAAGGCCTCAGACAGGAAACGATGCAGAGGCACTTTTCCTGTCAGCTACCACCCCATACACTGTTCGCAACTCCCCGGATATTTCTTTGAACAAATGCTAGAAAACCAAACTAAAGCCGTATGGCTTCCATCAACAAAAGGACGTAAAATCTATTCTTGTCCATGGTAGGCGCAACCTTCGAATTTCTAAAGTACTGGAGACCATAGCACATGACTAGTAAGAATGTCAGTTCAATCGCGAAGTGCTCTCACTTGAAAAGGTTATTGTAAATTTGACATCATGGGTCCCATTATAACAA